GGGCTGCAGCCCGGGCTCCAAGGAGTTAACCGCAGACCGGGCGCCGGCGGGGGGCTCCCCGCGGGCGGCTGCTGCTCCGCTTCGCCGCCGGGCTCAGGCTGCGCGGCCTGCCCGGGGCGGGGCCGGGCCCGGTCTGCGGTTAACTCCTTGGAGCCCGGGCTGCAGCCCGGCCACGCCCCCTCAGGTGCGTACCCGCGCGTAGGCCGGGGCGTGAATAACAGGACGACTTAAGGGTTGACTGCCGGCTCGAATTCTCCTGCGCCCTGGGCTCCACGGATCAACCCCGCTGCCTGCCCGGTCTGCTCCCCACTCTGACTGCCCATTTCAAGGGGCTTCTGACCCCGACACCCTAAATCTTGGGGCTCGCTAACACCTGTCTCCTCCGGTCGTGGTACCCAGAGCTGTAGGGAGCCTCTGGCCTCCGCATCCCTGACCTGCTCCGACCCCTCCTCACTCCATCCCCATTCCCCTAAGTAAAGTTGAGATTCCGACGCTCCGCCCGGTGACCACCCTCCTACTTCTTTGTCCTAATAACCCTCTCTTCGGAGAAGCCTGCACCTGCAAGGAAGCCCCGCCCTCCGTCACAGCCCACCCCTCCGCAGGATCCCGCCCCCTCAAAGGCCGCTGTCCCTCGGAGCCCGTTCTCCTTCAGGGGGACCTTTCCTTGGGATGACACTGAAACATCAGGGTGTACCCAGAGCCCCTCAGTGCTGCACCTCCTCCTCTTTGTGTTCCGCTAACTAAAAGAAACCTCTCAGAGTGACTCGGCTAGTCATTGTGACCCCTCCTCTCAAGGTGACTCCTCCCCTCGCTATCGCCCAGCGGTGTGACCCCTTTCAGCAGGTTGCGCCCCGCGTCGGTAGACGCGAGTATGCCCCCTCAGGCCAGAGGAGGAGGTGCAGAGGCCTCTACAGCGGTTGGGATCCTCGGAGTGCGCACGCCCGGTCTCGGGACGTGGCTTTCGCTGTTCCCGATGTTTCCGGCTCTGCCACTGACTCCTCCCCTCAAGGTCATCGGTGAAGCAGCCAATCAGCGCTAGGGTTGCGTGACGTCACTGGATCCCGGCAGAGGTCTGCTGGCATCCGTGAGCCTCCTGCCACCTCGCGGCGGAATGGAGTGAGGCTGGCAGAATGTGCAAGGCGGTCTTGAGTGCACCGTATAAGGGAATCATACAGGTTTGGAGAGAGAATAGTCATGTACAGTTGTTCTAGAAAAGCTGAGTAGGCCAATGCGTGTTCTTTTTTTCCAGGGACTCTGGTATCAGCAAAACATACCGCATTAAATTAGAGTTAATTCTGAGAAACTATTTGTAATCTTTTGTGTAGAGATTGAAACAGGTTCTTGCCTTGTAGCCCATGCTGGCTTTGAATTCACAATACCCCTGTGCTGGGATTACAGGTATGTGCTACCCCGCCTGGAGGGAATTCATTTTCCATAGTTTGTGCAAGGTCTGCAGACACTCGGAATTTGTACCTTTAGGATAACGTCATCATAGTAAGCTTAACCGGCACCGGATTCTGTCCCATTAGTCACATTTGAGGACTAATGCCTGTGACAGTAGTTACATGCTGGATTTAGGAAGAGCGCTGTGGTGGTTACAGTGAGGGAGGGTGTTTGGGAAGAAGGCCGTGTGGTCGGTCGTTCTCTCTGCTGGGGATGAAAGAGTGAACTAGGCTAGCCACTAGTAAAAGAGAGGAGAGAATGTTAATGTGCTTGGGAAGCTTGTGTGTGTGTGTGTGTGTGTGTGTGTGTGTGTGTGTGTGTGTGTGTGTTGGGGGGAGTGCAGTAGCCAGGTTCGTCATTAGGTTTCTATCTAGGTTTAAAACTGGATGATGTCACCAGCTTTAAAAAGTTCAGGTGGAGAAGCTGTTGAGGGTAGGAGATAGATGATCATCGGCAATAATGATGGTCATAGGGACAAGGTACTGTCACCCAGAGAGCACCCAAGCACACGCTACCTGCTTTCAGATAACCTTCTGCGCATGTGACTATCCTGGAAGAAACTCATGGTCGATCTTGTTTTGTCCCCACATCTGTTCCCGCACCCAGTTATTTGATGCATAGCTATGACATTACGTTATCACTGGTTAGAAAAAGGAACCCTCATTAAATCATAGTGTCATTGTTGTGTGGTGGGTTGGTCTGGTGCTGTTATGTATTCAGATGCTAAAAACTGTATCCCACGACCTGGTTGTTCCAAGACAAGCAAGTCCTCAACTATACCAGCTCTCCTATATTCATGATTGGTTAATAAAGATGCCTACAGCCTATAGCTGGGCAGAAGAGATGTAGGCGGGGCTGGAGGTTCCCAGGTTTGGGTTCTCAGGCACAGAAGAGGAGACAGAAGGAAGGGAGGGTGGAGAAGTCGCCATGGGGTGGTGTGGATTGTTAGCACGTGTTCTCGAGGGCTGCTGGCCTGTTGTAGTGGGAGTGGCCTGGGTGGACTGTGGCAAGCAATATCTTGGGGTTATTGACAAGAAAGCAGACAAAAATGTGGGTAACTGACATCTCGATTGGCAAGTTAAGACATGAATGTTAGACAAGTCCCATACTGGTAGACACATTAGAACGTGAACGTTAGACAAGGCAAGTCCCCTGCCACAGTTGAATACCCATTCAATGGGAGCATGATAAGTGCACCACAAAAACATGTTCCTAAGGAAATCCCCTGTCCTTAAATCCTGATTGGTGAAATAACTTGGCACAGATGCTTGTGGATTTGGGGCTTAAAAACCCTGTAGAATCTTAATTCAATGCCATAGCTCAGTTCCTGAATGTGTACATGGCCCTGGTTGACCAGTCCTGGGATGTATGCTCAATAAACTATCCCTGTCTGACTGAAAAAAAGAAAAGAGAAGAAAGCAGACAAAAATAGTGTAGCGGATTGGCAGCTGCCCAGCTCTAGTGCTACTAAGGTTTACTATAAATATAAACATTGGTGTCATTTACTCAGGAGGTAAATGACCTGTTTGGGGTAGGAAACCCCCAAATAATATTTACCACAACATTGTCGTGCCCTTATAAACTAATAAAAGACTTGACGACTTGAGTTTGAAGTCTGAGATGCAGGCAAAAGTGGAAAGAGAGACTCGATTCCACAAACTTACCCTTTGACCTCCACACGCATGTCCTCACAAGTGTGCCCTCTCACATCATACATACACACAATAATAAAACATAAAAATTTAAAAACAGTAATAAAAGTCAGATGAATACCATAATCTCAATTCTCAGGAGGCTGAGGCAGGAGGATCATGAGTTTGAAGCCAGCCTAGGCTACAGAACAGGAACTTTTAAAGATCAAGCCAAACCAAGCAATAATTTCTTAATATCAAGTTTATACTTTATGTTGGGTTTTAAAAATTGTCTATTTTAGGGCTGGAGAGATGGCTTAGTGGTTAAGAGCACTGACTGCTCTTCCAGAGGTCCTGAGTTCAAATCCCAGCAACCACATGGTGGCTCACAACCATCTGTAATGAGATCTGATGCCCTCTTCTGGTGTATCTGAAGACAGCTACAGTGTACTCATATATATAAAATAAATAAATAAATCTTTAAAAAAATTGTCTATTTTAATCAAAATAGAAATGAGATCCTTACTTTGCTTCTGAGGTAGCTCCTAATCTTTTAAAATGCTTGTCTATTCACCTTTCCCATTATTAGTCAACACTTTTTATTTATGTGCACGGTGTTTTGCCTGCATGCGTCTCATTGCACAGTGTACATGCCTGCTACCCAGAGGCCAGAAGAGGATATTGGATACCCTGGAACTGGACTCACAGATGGCTGTAAGCCTCCATGTGGGTGCTGGGAATTAAACCTGGTCCTCTGGAAGAGCAGCCAGTGTTTGGAACAGTTGAGCCATCTTTCCAGGCTCTATTATTAAGTACTGGAGCATAATGCTACACATCTAGAATACCAGCATTCAGGACACAGAGGCAGGAGGATTTTTGGGACTAACCTGGACTGTACATTGAGATACTGCCAAAAAAAAAAGAAAGAAAGAAAGAAAGAAAGAAAGGAAGGAAGAAAGAAAGGAGAGAGAGAGAGAAAGGAAGGAAGAAATGAAGGAAGGAAGAGAAGAGGAAAAGAAACTTTTTGGACTGAGCGCATATAGCTGGGTATTAAAGTGCATGCCCCGGGCTCCACTTTTCTGCAGGGGGACAGGAGAATACCCCTTTTCTCTGATGGTAAATTTTGTCAACTCGATTGATGTGAGAAGCATCTCTGTTAGTAAAGCAGACTTCCAGAGAGGATTCCTAGGGAAAGACACAGTCTGGTGATCAAGGGAAAGCCCACAGCATAGGTGTCCTCTCTCTCTCCTCTTGGATGATGTACAGTTGCACCTCCTCACCAAAACCAGAGCCAGAATAAATCCTAGAGATGGGGTTCCTCAGGGCTTGGTTTTTTACCAAATCCTACCCTCCAAAACAAAAACAAAAAAATAAAACCTAATACAGTTTTTATGTTAAACTTTGTATCCAAAGATACAATTCATACGAAAAGCTGTTACCAGTTTTCAGATACTGTTGGTTTCCTAGCCTCTTCCAAGGGAGCCAGAGAAGATTGTCCTGTGGGGCACCATGA